ACCTCCTTTGGATTGCAAGAGAAGCAGTCCAAGCATTCATAGGGAGAGTACAGAGTTCAGCAAAGCACAGTCATTTGGGGATTGGTTTACATGTTATGTTGATACTCTAAAACTGCAAATAAAATAAGTGGAATGCAGGAGAGAAGAGGGGAAAAATCAGGATGTGGAGCGGGGATGAGGGAGGGGAAATGAATACAAGAAATATATATGGAAGTTTACAAACAGAAACCAAGCTATATTCAGGAACACAATCAGGAATACAACATCATCAGACACAGGTGAGACATTGACCAGAGACGGATACATGACATCAAACAGCTAACTATCACAATTATTTCAAGTTTTTCAATAAGCTAAACGATTACTCTCAATGGTCTTCCTAAAGTGACATCTTTGAATGTAAAAGGAATAAATAATATCATTAACGGGAAAAAAAGCCATGGTAGAATAGAATTTATTTAAAAAAAAAAAAAATCACACAGATTATTCTTGTTCAATAAACTCATTTCAGGATGGATAAATCATTGTCATGAAAGCTAATTGGTTTCAGCAGACATTTTTTGCTTCAACCAAAGAAAAGAACAGACTAGCGGGCATAGTAAACACATACCTTTTCAAATTAAAGATCAATTTAAGGATAAGGAAGGACAATTCACATGGTTGAAGAGGACAATTGCTGTGTTTTTAATATCAGTTATACTCCCAACCAAAAGCAAAAATCTTTTTTAAGGATTTCTTTAAAACACTGCCAACACTTTGGGAAAAGGAAAATTATACTTGGAGGAGACTTCAAATGCACACAGAATCCATACTGGGACAGATCTTATTTAAAAAAAAAAGACAAGGTGGATAGACAAGCAGATGCAGCACTAACTTCCTTGTGTCAACAATTCACTCTCTCAGATTGCTGGACAGAACTGCATACAGGGCAAAGAGATTACACATTTTATTCATACCATCATCCGTTACATACAAGAATAACGCTAATGTTAATCCCTAAATCCCTAATGAAGCAGACGAGTTCTGCAATAGTTGTCAACATTACATGGTCAGATCATGCACCAGCTAAAGTAATACTTGCTGGCTGGTTTGGGTCACAAAGGTCACTTTTTTGGAAAATGAACTGCTTGCTTCTCCAAAACAAAGATCAGATTGCAGCACTATTGCAGATTGCAGGACACTATTCAATACTTTCAAATAAATTATACACACAATATAAAACGAGGCCTTCTCTGGGAGGCAGGTAAAGCAGTATTTAGGGGGCAGTTGACAAGGACAGCCTCTCAATTGAAAAAAAGGAAGTTCAAGAAAAAATAGAATTAGCACAGGAGATAAAAAGGTCTCAAGACATTCATAAAAGATGCAGGTTCAAAAAAATCCCACAAAAACAACATAACTAATTAAGATGAGGGGGGAAATATATATGTTGATGATAGAAGCCACTGAAAAAGCCCTTAGGTTTACAAATCACAAGTTTTATGAAAAAGGAAATAAAAGTGATAGCCTATTGGCTAAAAGCTTTAAGGTATTCAAGAGCATCATCTTCCATTGATTATGGGGGGAGAGGGAGGGGGAAATCAGCAAAAGATAGTTATGCACCCTGCTGAAATGTGCTATTTTAGCTGTTTATTATAAAAATCTCCATACCTCATATACTCCAACTTCTGAAGTTATTCAAAAATATCTGGAAGTAGTAAGTTCACCAAAGATAAGCAAAATTGATAAAGAAACTTTAGACAAAGAAATAACAGAAGAAGAAATCCTAGAGGTAATAGCAAGTATGACAGAGGTAAAATTCCACGACCTAATGGCTTGCCAGCTGAATTTTACCAGGTATTTAAGGAGGGTATTGCTGAGTCCCTTGAGAGGCACCTTCAACGCTATTCTGTTAGGGAAGGAACTTCCTCAACCTATGAAAAAAGCTACTGTGGTTCTTCTCCCTAAAGATGGAAAAGACCTTACCTTAAGCAGCTCCTAACAGCCCTTACCACTACTGAATCATAAAAAAGATTTTAGCAAAAAATACAAGATAGTCAATTGCCATCTTATATAAATCCTGATCAATCTGTATTTGTTAAGAATAGACAGATTTGGAGGGTACCTGGAATTATCCATAATGCCAGATGAAAAAAAGATCCATTTCTTTTTTTATCACTAGACTCAGAGAAAACCTTTGATAGAATAGAGTGGAATTTCCTTGTTTCAAGGCTTGTCCCATATGGATTTTGGCCACCAGTTCCTTAAATGGATAGCTGCTTTTCTACACCAGCCAAAAGCAGCTCAGAGTTAATGGGCTAAATCTCCCCTAATTGAATTGCACAGAGGGCCTAGGCAGGGATGTCCAATGTCTTCTCTACTTTTTGCACTGGCCATGGAGAGACTTTTTCACAGAGGATAAAGAACAACAAATCTGCCACAGGAATAAAACTTGCAGGAACATATCAGAAAACAGCATTATATGCAGATGTAATCATATTTTTACCTAAAACAAAGTATTTTCCTAAAATTAGTTGCTAAAGAAATCCACAACTTTGGTATTGGATTTAAAGTAAATTACGCCAAAACTGAAATGCTAGCCATACATTAGCCAAACTCTGAAACATCACTCCTCAAGAAAATATTTGGGTACAAATGGGCAACAATTCTATAAGATACTTGGGAGCTCAACTCTCAAAACAATCAGAGCACTCTTCTAGGTTAATTGTCAAACCACTACTTCAGCAAATGAAAAAAGATTTGTAGTGCTAGGGGAAGTATGCAATTTCTTGGATGGGAGAACAGTCACAGTCAAAATGAACATTCTGCCAAGGATATTCTTCTTGTTTCAAAGTCTTTCTTTGATTATTCCAGAAAAAAACTCTAACAGGAATACAAAGGATGCTATTCCATATAAATTCTAACAAGACAAGACCAAGACTGAGTGCAGATACTTTGTACAGACCCGTTAAACAGGGTGGACTAGCTGTTCCAAATATTTTATGGTACTATCAAGCCAGCCATCTCAAAGCAGTAGCAGAGCAGGGGTGATATAATGCAGGCATACACTGGGTCTTTATTGAACAAGAAAATTGCATCAGTGTAAATATCACTAGCCAACTGCAGTCTGTGCTCTCATCTTATATAAATTTAGATCAAACTGGATTTGTTTAATAAAATAGATTTTAAAAAAAAAATCACACACTTCAAAAATTTACACACATCCTTAAGCAACTCTATGGGTTTGGGATAGAACTAGAGATAAGTTATTTTTCCTCACCAATGACACCCATTGCAAATAATCCAGATCTTAACCCTAAGCACAAACCAGAGAGCTTCAAAGATTGGGAGAGTCATAGAATACACACGGTTATTCAGTAAAGAAACTTTTGTAACTTATTTGGAGATCAAAATTAACTTTAACTGGCCCATTCTCCCCTAGTACCAGTACTTTCAAGGCATTATGTTTCTCAACACTATGGAAAACCTGTTTTATACAGAAAGCTAACTTTAATAGAAGTGATGGCATCCAGTCAATTAGGAAACAAATAATTAACTACTTTATATCAATCTTTGCAGACAATTTTCCTAACAAAATCATGCCCATAGACGACATACTGGGAAAAGGATGTAGACAGACAAGTTACCCAGAGAAAAGGGATTTGAACTAGAAAAGAGGACCAGCAATCTCAGTCTGTAGCACAATAAATAAAGTTTAAGATACTGTTTCAATGCTATCTCATACAAGTGAGGTGGGTGGGAGAGGGGGCGGGGAGAGAGAGAGAATGAGGATAAATAGGAGTTGTGTGTTTAAATCCTTTGCATTACACTGAAAGTTTACTCAATTTACCCAATAATATGCTTTATTTAAAAAAAAAAATAATCCAAAATTATCCTTTTCAACTGAGAAAAGCATCAAGAGTGAACAAAGGAGAACCGAATGAATAAAATGATAGAAAAGAAATTAAATTTAAGCTACATATTAGGAATTATTCCCCACCAACAAGCTGTAGTAGGACTATCCTGCACTTACGAGGGTGAAAAATCGGGACGGGGGTGGGGGGTAATAGGTGCCTATATAAAAGAAAGCCCCAAATATCAGGACTGTCCCTATAAAATCGGGACCCCTGGTCATCCTAGCACCTACTGAATTCAGTGAGAGCTTGACCACAGACAGGAAAAGGCATGAGGAGTAAAAACACATGCCTGCTCCTTGTCCCAATTTAAAACTGTCTCTCTCAGAAGCAATGGGCATTTGGTTGTTAAATGAGAACTAAGATTGAGTCCACCTACATAGGCAGCTGTTTCCTCTCCATCACAATGTGGGTATCTGGATTTGCCACAATTTCAAGACAATCAGTTTTTGGCCAACAGAAATCCTGCATGGATAGCTAATCTGATTTGCAGATGCAAACTACAACAGCATAAGGAGGTGTTATTCAAATTGTTCAGCTAGTAAAAACCACTCTTTTTGAGGAGAATTAAAAAAAAAAAAAAAAAAGACTTAAAATTTAAGGCATCTTTACTATAAGAACTCCAGTGTAAATTAAGTAAGCTTTACTGGCTATAGTATCTGCTGTAAACCAATCTCTTTGTATAACAATGAGCTGTTCATGGTGAAAATCAGGGATTGGTTGTGAGAAAGAGAAAGAGGGGAGGGATGAAGGAGCAGTGTGAAAACAATCAGATGCTTCCTGGAACAGACATATTTACACCAAAGAATAAAAACTGCTTTCAGGACAATGATACGCACCTTAAATATAGAAAGATTAAATACAAGGTTTAGACTTACTTCTAGATCTAACGGCAATGTCAAAAAGAATCGGGCTCTTAGGTTAGAAAAGTCCCATCACATAGACTATTTGGAAATAGGGTGTTTAAAGGACTAGATAAAAATACTTTAGGAAACCTACACTGGAAAGGGGTACTCTATTGTGAGTGACCTGATCTCTCTCTTCCATCTCTAATTTCCTTTATTTTAAATCAACAAATCTACATATTACTTAATCTATAGAAAAACTCACCCACTTTCAGATGCACTCACTATATACTGTTTTTCACTGGAAGCAGAGGCTTTGGACAAACATGTAATTGAAGCTGTGTGACCAAACAGCAGCGCTCTGGGATTAATCTAGAATTACAGAAGTAAAGTATACAGTAAACTCACTGTACCTACTATTAGCAGAGCAGTTAAATCACATAACCAGAAAGACAAAAAAAAGTTTGCCAGAGGTTTTTATCTATATAGATGCATTATTAGTGCAGCTGTGGTAATATAATATTTTAAGAGTATTTTATGACGAGTTAGATCTATGACAAGCTGGTCTGCTGTGCAAGAGAACCAACTGCCAACAGGTGCTGGAATGAAAGTATTTGAAAGTCCCATAACTTTATTCAAGGTGGCTCTACCAAGGGTTTTTAAATTGGATGCTAAATTTGGATAAATCATGCTGTATTGCTACAAAAATAATTAATTCATAGTTTTCATTAAGCCATGTCCTTCCCCAAAATTAAAGGTTTTAAATTTAAAGTTTAAAATAAAACAAAAAATTATTCAAATTTATGAAAGACCATATCTACTTCATGTCCTATAGATAGTATTTCCTCTGTTAAAAATATACACTCCCCCCAAAGATTTGTGGTTGTATTAAATACTTGCATGTTTTGCATGGGTTCAAAAAACAAGTGCCTTTAACTGCTTGAGAACCGCAGTTATCCAATATAACGCCACTGCCTGATTTGTGTTATTGCTTTTATAAGAGGATTACTTTTTAACTGAAAACTACACCTCTACCTCGATATAACGCTGTCCTCGGGAGCCAAAAAAATCTTACCGCGTTATAGGTGAAACCGCATTATATTGAACTTGCTTTGATCCACCGGAATGCGCAGCCCCGCTCCCCCCGGAGCACTGCTTTACCGCATTATATCCGAATTCTTGTTATATCGGGTCACGTTATATCGAGGTAGCGGTGTATTTGTTTCCAACAAATCACTATAGGCCATTTGAGATGGGCACTTGCAGCTGAGAGTGTCAGCAGCTGAAACCTGTAAGTAAGCAGTCTCAATCTCAACTACTAATCCCCCTTCTGATCCTGTTTCTACAGAAATAAAGGTTAAAGAATACAGATGTGCTTTTTGAAAAGTTAGTATTTAAAAAACATTAAATGTAAATTTCCAAGATTTGATGTCTGTTTTCATAAACCAATCAGCTGAAGCTGAAAGAAATGCAGCAGCTTTTGCAGCTTCTGGGTCAAGAAAGGTCAGACATGGGAAGGGAAATATTGGCTTTAAAAAATTAATTACCCTAGTCAACATTAGCTTCCACGGAACAAGGGATTGGAAAGGCATGTGTGAGAACTCTCATTTCAGCTACTGGCTGTCGGCTGAGATGAGCAATTACTGGCTTCAAACCCCAACTAAAAGTTTACCTACATTCGTCATTCATGTCAAATTGATCTAGCAGTTTGTCCCACAAAACTAAAAGGCCCAGAAACAAGTGACACGAGATACCAATCTTCAGCTGGATTTATTGATTTTCCATGTTGCAATGATTTTTTTGTTTAAAAAAAAAATCAAATCTTTTTCTAAAAAAAAAAAAAAAACAAAAAAAAGCACTAAGCCTATGAATAGGCTCTAGGGTTTAGAGTTTTTGGCCAACAGAAATCCTGCATGGATAGCTAATCTGATTTGCAGATGCAAACTACAACTGCATAACTGAGGTATCATTCAACTTGTTTACCCAGTACAAATACTCTTTTTGAGGAGAATTTAAAAAAAAAGACTTAACAGTTAAGTCATCTTTACTATAAGAACTGCAGTGTATATTAAATTAGCTGTACTGGCTAAATTATCTATTGTAGACCAAGCTCTTAACATAACACTGAGTTGTTCATGGTGCAAAATCAGGGATTAGTTGTGAGAAAGAGGGGAGGGATAAAGGAGCAGTGTGAAAACAATTGCATATTTTCTGGAACAGACATAATTACACCAAAGAATAAAATACGCTTTCAGGACAATGATACGCACCTTTAAATACAGAAATATTAAATTCAAGATTTAGACTTACTTCTAGATTTAATGAAAGGTCCCAGAGAGATATCTGTCCATCATGACATCCTGTGACAATCATTGAAACATCATCCATTAACAGTATGGCTGATATGCAGTGTGTGGGAGCTTTGCGACCCCAAAGCACGATTGGTAGAACAAGGCTGTTTCCTGCCATTTTGCTTTCACTCCTGTAAATTTTATCAAGATCATAAATATCAGAGTTTCAGGACTTTTGTCATTTTTGCAGCCTTAAGGATTTAAAAACCCAAAACCAAAACTCTATAAACTGTGCAAAAAGATTACGGTGTTGGTCAGAGCTGATTCACTTACCACATCCTCATCCCCCGACAAACTTAACAACAACATCATCATCAATTATACCTACTGTAAAATACAAAATGTGCTCAAGATTTTTTTTCCTAGTCATTGAACATTTTAAAATGTGTCTTCAAATACTAACCAGGGACAGAATAATAGATACTTTAAGAAATCATCTGTAAAACTCAGTGGTTTGTGATATTATTAGAACCTCAAGATGCATGCAAGAGTTTGTATTACAATATATTGTTGCTTACACTTTTTTAACAGGTGGCTTTTCAACTCTGAACTCAGTCATTTTTCCCCAAGTGTCATTCTTCTCTTACCCAAAGTGTTTAAGAAGTAAATGTCTGAAGTGGTGTATACCCGTATGTATTTGCTAGATGCCCAGTCAACAGAGACCTGACATGGTCTGTATTCCTCCCCATTCATCTGACATTTAAAAAATACTGACTTGAAAAATACTTTGATATTTTAAAAACGTCAACTGAAAGTAGACACTGTAATATTCTGTAGATTAACTGCATAAATCCTAAAAGTATTTTTATTTGAATTGAATTATTCTGAGCTGATATTGTGGGAGTTTTTTTTCTAAATTACATTTATCATATTGAAATGCATAAAGTGTGCTGTACTAGCCAGAGTTACGATTCAGAGAACAGTCAAAGGTTATTACAATCTCCTCGGTCATATTCAGACTAGTCTACAGTATGTTACGCTGAATCATTGTGACCAAAAAAAAAAAAAAAAAAAAAAAAGTCAGACCCCAAAACATCATGAGATTCGCTAAAACAAAAGATGATGGCTACGACGACATCAGCAGATTTTTGAAAATAATATATTTTAGGTTCTTTTTATTTGCCTTCTGTATTTTGAGCCTTTACGGTGCACTCATGGCACATTTTTAAGTTTGTCTCTGCAACCACGAGGACATCTTTTCCCCTAATGAAAGCCAGATTTTCATGTCAACAGAAGACTCCAAGAGCTGGTGCTTTAAGAAGAACACCAACTACTGAGAGACTTTGATAAAAATCACAAGAGTTGGCAACACTGACTTTTTCTGCTTCCTCCCTGTCTCAGTATTGCCAACTCCAACCATCCAAGAGACATGAGTCACATCCCAAAAAGCCATGAATTTCACTTAGAAATCGTGAGATTTTTAAAACAATTTTGTTTCTATTTGCTTTTTGAGTCTCTAGAGTTCATGTTTTCAAGCTTTTCTCTGCAACTATGAGGGCTAGAAGGTTTTTTTGCGGGGGAGGGCTAAATGGAAGCTAAGATTCTCAAATCAGTTAAGATCTGAGACCTTCCCCCCACCCCCACCCCCAAATATCTCAAGATTCACAATAAAAAAAAAAACCTCAACAAAGTTGGCAACATGGCTGCCTTGCAGCAACTGGGACAATGGGGATAAGAGAAAAGAAGGGGAAAGAGATTTAAAAAAAAAAAAAAAAAAAATTATCAGACAACCAGAAAGCCAGATTCAACAGGGTCTGGAAAGCAGAGGGGGAAAGAGAGCCTCCAGCCAAAACTCAGATGTTTGAATAGGTCTAAAAGTAGCTATTTCACTTGGACCAATGGGTGTATTATCCAGTTTGGAAGGGGTGGAGTGGGGAGAGTCAGCAGACTGCAAAAACAAGATTAATAAAGTGTCTTTATCTACCTTTTTTTTTACCAGTTCTTGTATTTAAACTTGGAATACAATGGGATTTAACATTAAGAGAAGTTCATTTCTGGTTTGAACACAAAGCCTACGGAGGTTTCCGTCCTTCTAGCACATGCCAGATGGTTCCCTCTACCACACAGCTAACCTTTCAAGCGCTTTAAAGTTTCTTTTCAAAGCCAAAATACTGTTTCAAATTTAGCCCCAAACAGATTAGGTATATTTTGTAACTGGTTAGCCACACACTCAAAGGTGGCCTAGCAGACTGAAACTGCAGAAGAGAGCCTGATTCCTCAGCTCTGTTGGCAGCTCCCTGTCAGGAGCCCGGCTGTGCCCCAGGCTCCTGGCAGTCTGCACCCCACTCCCCACCAGGAGCCAGGCAGCCTTGTCAATTTTGCGGCTGGGAGCCATGAAATTGAAGAGATAGCCTGGCTCCCGGTGGGGAGCGGGAAAGCCACTGGGGGCGTCTCACCTCTCCCTTCCCCATCAGTAGCAGGGGAGGAGTGAGCCTCCTCGCCTCTCACCTCAACTCCCAGCTGGGAGTGGGGTCCAGCTGTCCAGGTTTCTTGCCCCAGATCCCAGCCAGGAGCAGGGTTCATTCTCCCCCCCACCTCCCAGCCGGGAGCAGGTCCAGCCACCCAGCTCTCCAGAGGGCAGTGGTGCTCTAGCTGCCCAGCTTTCTTGGCAATTTCACTGCTTCTGCCATGAAATTGACAAGACAGCCAATAGGGGACCTAAGTAAGGCAGTGTCTACACCAGGGGTCGGCAATCTTTCAGAAGTGGTGTGCCGAGTCTTCATTTATTCACTCTAATTTAAGGTTTCACTTGCCAGTAATACATTTTAATGTTTTTAGAGGTCTCTTTCTATAAGTCTATAATATATAACTAAACTATTGTTGTATGTAAAGTAAATAAGGTTTTTAAAATGTTTAAGAAGCTTCATTTAAAATAAATTAAAATGCAGAGCCCCCTGGACCAGTGGCCAGGACCCGGGCAGTGTGAGTGCCACTGAAAATCAGCTCGTGTGCCGCCTTTGGCACGCGTGCCATAGGTTGCCTACCCCTGGTCTACACAGACACTGCGACACCCCACCTACACCAACATAAGCCCTATGTAGGGTGACCAGACAGCAAATATGAAAAATCGGGACGGGGGTGGAGGTAATAGGAGCCTATATAAGAAAAAGACCCAAAAATCGGGACTGTCCCTATAAAATCAGGACATCTGGTCACCCTAGCCCTACGCCTCTCGTAGAGGTGGAGTTATTATGTCAGTATAGTAGGGCAGTTACGTCAGTGGGATAAGGCTGTAGTGTAGACACTGTCATAATTAGGTCAATGTAAGCTGCCTTGTGTTGACCTAACTGTGTAGTGTAGACCAGCCCTGGGTTATCTCACCCAAAAGACTTGTGCCTGTCTACACTATAACTTCCACCATTTCTGGAGAATTTTGGTAACACAAATGCAACCTGGGTCTCAGAACCACCAACAGCAGCATATGATGCTGCCCATCCAAGCACAAACTCAAGTTGATAGTTAACAGCTAACTTGTTACGTAATCAGTGCCTTTCTAAATTTTCTACCCATGTTGCCATAACACATACTGTATAGCTAAATGACCTCTCCTCTAAGAGGATGGCATTTTCAAAGGAAACAAAGCAATTTTTAATACTAGCTTAGAACACTGTTACAGAAAAATGTTCTTATAAAAAGGCAGCAAATATGTAGCAGCTATTATAAAATGTGGCTCAATTCTGAAAAACAGTTAAGTAAAAACCCAGTACTTTCTTACTCAACAGAATTGCTGAACTGTGTGTATTCAGAGCCAGAATTGTAGACCTTTTTTTCCATCAATTTTTTTTACCGCTTTTTATTCCAGTAATCCATGCAGATACAACAATACTAATGGAGATTAAGGTGAATTCTGGCAAGCACATTTTTAACATAATTGCTAACCAAGTTATAATTCCAGGCCCAAATTCTGCTCCCAGTGAAGAGAGACATGTTGCACAGATGCAACTGAGAGCAGAATTTTATCAACAGAATCTTTATTAATGGTACTGAAGCATAAGCCAGAAAGAAAAAAGCATGACAATTATTTATTAGCAGTATTACAAGAGGGTCTAGACTAAGATCTCTGATTTAATTTGCAAAATTGGCAGTTTAAAAAAAAAAATCTCTTTTTTTTTTAAACTTTGTAACCAAATAAATGTTATATGTAAAACTGCATTATGGGTTTCCAAAGTCATTTTTCAGAGAAGTACTGCACTTTATAAAAACTATCATTTGAGGTACGCTGGTACTATTTGTGACATAGTTCAGTAAATTAGAGTAGTTCTGGTCCATGGTGATTTCCTATGACAGCCTCATGGCTGCTGACCAATTGGAATTATTACCTAATGCCAATTTATTATAGTGTGTCCAAAGTTTAATATCTTATTAATGTGCTGAATACATGCTGACACACCTCATCAGGACAAAAAAATTGATTTCCTGATACTGTTGTTGCTGCTGCCCCTTCACATCTCCCCTCTTCTCCCCATCCCCGCCATAGTTTTAGAGGGTAGAAAATGCTCTGATATTCGAATTCTAACCATTAAAAACATAACTAGAATGAATGACAGAAGATTACCTTTGTTCTTACAAATATATTTTTTCCTTAGCACTCTAAAAAGTTTATCCATCATTTATGTGATGTTTTTATATCTACTTTGACTGTGTTTATAATATATGAATCAGACATAGTGAAAGTCTGCTTATGCAGAGCTTGTCAATTTGATTCCAATAACTTCTGTTTACATCAATCCTCTGCTATCTAAACTACATATCTCCCCTTTGGCATGGAACATGTTTACGCCAATCAAGCATGAGGAAATCTGTAGAGAGTAAAAGTAAACTATATACACAAGATTTTCCATCACTTTCCAACTAACTTGCTTAGCTTAAATTACCTTAGTAATGACTTTTATGATGTATTTTGCATTTAATAAATAAAAATGTTGAAACTTAAATTACACCTGCATCATTTTATAAGGTGCCAGTCCAGTTTATAAAAGCATCCACAGAAAGATCCATTTCATCTCCTTTTATTTACTAACAATTCATAAAAGTGTAACAAACAGGGCACAGTCTCACATATATCTCTCATTTTGGAATCAAATGTACTTGTGTGGGGGCTTGGCTACACTTGCGAGTTAGAGCGCATTAA